GGCCCCGAGCGGCGACCCGGAAGCGGAAGCCGCTCCCTCCCCACCCCCCGCGCGCGGAGCGCAGCGTTCGGTGTCCGCCCAGTCACCAGCCCGCCCCCCTTCCCCCACGGGGCTGCCCTCAGCGCCGCCGCTGCCGCCGCCCGCAAATCCCCCCTCCGGATCCCCCAGAAACGAAAGGGCAGCGGGGTCGCTTTCCCTTCCGCCGAGCCGCGCTCTACCGCCCTGCAACCGGGCGAGGGGGGAGGGGTGGAGGAGCGCACGGCGGGGAGGATTTCCCTCAGGCATTTGCGGCGGGCAGCCCAAAGGGGCGGGGCCACGGGGCTGTCCCGGTACGAGAGGCCCCACGGGTGACGGCGGCGGCGGAGCGGAAGCTGCGCTCCTCGGCAGGTGAGCGGGACGGACGGCGGAACGGGGCTTTCCCACCCCCTTTTCCTCTTGCCCTTTCGCCGCCGCCAACACGGCCCGAACCTCGGGGAGTCCCAGGGCCCCGCTAGGCCCCGGCCCGGTATTTTCCGTGGGAGCTGAGGGAAATTGTTGCTTCAGGGTAGTCCGGAGGGTGGGGGAGGGGCGGCTGTCGTCTCACTTTGCTGAGGAGGGAAAAAAAAAAAAAAATTTGTTAACGGTGAGGGGGGTGCAGCGCTCCCCCCGGGGCCTGCGGGTAGCCCCGGGGCTGCATTGGGTGAGATTTTACCTCTTTCACGAGCTCGATAAAGCTTGTTTTTATCATCGAAGTGCAAAACGGCGAAGGGGCGCAGAAATCTTAGGAGAAATCTCAGTGACAACTCTTCTCCTTTCCGTTTTGTTTTTTTTTTTTTCTCCAGTGGTTGTCAGGAATTCGAAGCACCTGCACGCCTGAGTGCTGGCAAAGCCTCATCCCCTTGCCTTTCGCCTTCCTCCTTCCTAAGGCAATGCCCAAAGTGAAGAGGAGCAGGAAGCCTCCCCCGGATGGCTGGGAGCTGATTGAGCCAACGCTGGATGAGCTGGATCAGAAGATGAGAGAAGGTAAGCGGCAGAGCTGGGTCTTTTCAGGGATGGGACTCTGAAGCAAGCTAATCCTTAACTGCTTCACAAAGCACAGCTTCCCCTGTGAATATAGATTGATGGTTTTTATATCTCTGCCTCGCAGTGATAGCGCAGACTGAGACTGGGCCGGTACTGGTCGCTTTTTTCTGGGTGTGCACTGGTTACAGAGCACAGAGGTTTGGTGTACAGTTGTTTTAGGGCACGCCGTGGCCAAACCCTGGCTGAAGCTCACCAGTGTGTGTGGACGGACCGGTGGTTCTTGTCCATGCCGTTGCTCTGGTCTGACGAGTAGGGCAGCCATGAAGTCACCCACTGTCCCAGCGTGGGTCACATCATCCCCACTATCATTCTGGTTATATTTCCTAAAGGAGCTGTTCCGGGTCAGGTCCCTTTTGTTTGAATCTTCTCCCATTAAGCTCAGTCTTATCTCCGTAAGGTATTAAAGCTATGAACGTTCTTGCAACAGTTTATTGCAAAGTGACTAAGGAAATAAGTTGGCTGCCTGGAACGGTCAGCTGAAACCTGGTGCTTGTGTTCCCTCCCAGCGGAGACTGAGCCTCACGAGGGGAAGAGGAAAGTGGAATCCCTTTGGCCTATCTTCAGAATTCATCACCAGAAAACACGTTACATCTTTGATCTCTTCTATAAAAGAAAAGC